GGGTGGAGGGATGGAGGGAGAGGGTGAACGGAGGGATGGATGGATGGACAGAGGGATGGATGAAGGATGTATGGAGGGAGGGACAGAGTGGATGGACAGGCAGGTGGAGGGATGGGGTGGATGGAGGGACAAGTGTGTGAATGGATGGTCAAAGGATGGGTGGACAGAGAGAGGGGGATGGGCAGACAGGTGAATGGATGGAGAGACAGGTAAATGGACAGACAGAGGAATGGATGGACAGAGGAGTGGACACACAGGGAATGGACAGACAGGTGAATGGATGGAGGGACAGAAGGATGGGTGAGTGGAGAGAGATAAATGGACAGAGAGATGGACAGAGGGGTGGGTGGATGGGCAGAAGGATGGACAGAGGGATGGATGGACAGATAGAGGGATATGTGTATGGCAGAGGGGTGGACAGACAGACAGGCCTGTTGTGGGATGCCCAACCCAGCCTGGTTTTCACACCACTGCCATTCTGATCCCTGCCAGCTGCCTCCTGCCTCAGTTTCCACAACTGGCCAAGATCGCCCTGAGAGGAGCCTGATCACCCCAGCCTGGGAAGCACCTTGGCTCTTCCAGCTTGTTGGGGGTTACCCAGCTCCCACGGGTGTCCTGCTGTCCCCAGCTCCCTGCCTGGGGTTTAATTTAGCCCCAGGGTGTCACCCCAGGACTCACCACCCCTGAGTCAGCTTTGGGCACCCTTTGATGTGCGGGAGGGCAGCGCAGCCTGCAGATGGTGGCAGCAGGACTTCTCCCTGGCAGGAGATGACAGCCAGGAAAGCCACGTGTTCGCTGGATAATTGTTTGTTCCTGTCAGCTCGGGTATTTTTGGAGCTTTTCCTTCCTCTGCTCTCTCATTCCGTTTCGGAGGCAGCAGCTGGCGGAGAGCAGTGGGTGCCCCTGGGTCCAGGACAAGGGGGAGCCCCCATGTCAGGGATCCCTGTCAGCCACAGGCAGGTCCTGGTACCAAATACTGTATTAGAATAGAATAATATATGTATATATTATATATATATA